TCAAGGAGACAGAAGCAGAGATACAAAAAGCAGCTGTAAAATGCGGCCCCTTTCCATAAGAAGATTTGCAAATTTTTCACTATGTCAGACTCACCACCGATAAGAGAAAATCGGGACAAGCATTTAGGATGGCCTTACGTTAACATATCACTAGAATGACTGACAATTAAGAGGTCCACTTATTTTGATGATCCAGCTGCAAAAAGAAAATCCACTATACCTTTAAGCCTTCATAAAGCTTTAAACTATTTGTAGCTTTTGATTTGGCTGCACCTCAACACTGTTAAAGTTCTCCTTTGGGGATTCAAACTCAGATGAAGTGTTTGGAGGCAGTCCTATATCTCTGAATGGTAAATGGGCTTCATTTTTATACAGCACTTTTCTAATGCTTTACACTAAAGCAACAAACCAGCCGCACTCTAACGCACGCACACATTTCTGCAATGATAAATAAATCTGTAGGGGATTTGGGAACAAGTCCAGGGGAACATCTGCATGTGATAGGAGGAAGCTGCTACACTACCTGCAATTTTCCAATGCAACAGGAGTGTGACTACTCTAGCCATAGAGCCACAGTCACCTCCTTTTAATGGACTGCTTACCCCTAAATCAATTCTTTTTGCTGATAAACTGTATAAATAGAAGTCTGATAGCGCCGTCTACATGCTCCAGCCATTTTTTTTTGTGATGATTTAAGGTACATTTGTTGAAATCCTGCTTTTGTGTCCAAACCTGCTTGTTTGGCGCCATCTTCAGGTTAAAAAGGGTTTACTGACTCTTTATTTTTCTATAGGCTCAGGCAGGGATGTGACCTCACTAACAAAATCAGCTCAACCCTCAACAGCTGCTCTGCGCCGACTCCCTCCTCCTACATGCCGGAGTTCATTTAGGGACTGACAACAAATTAAATGATTTTCTTGTAATGGAAAAGGAAAATGAATCATGATTTTATTCTTCATTATGAAATAAATATATGTCGTTGGATAAAAACAAGTCTGCATCACCTGTCCAGTCTATATAATGAAGAATGTGGAAAGAGGGAGCAACCAGATTTTTAAAATATCATATGCTGGTCGAACTACGGCTTTGGAGACACAGAGATCGTACTTTAAGCAATGCAACAGCATAATTGGTAGTAAAACAGCCTTGTAACATGAAGCCACCTTTACCATGTTGAAGAAAGAATAGTTGATCAAATTGCTGATGCAGATCCTCAGTCATCCAGGTCATAGTCATTCCGTAAAAGTTTAAAAAAACAATCCACTGGACTTGGTTTCCAAGGTTTGAAGACGTTTCGCTTCCCCTCCAGGAAGCTTTCTCAACAGCTCATCAGCTTCCTGGAGGGGAAGCGAAACGTCTTCAAACCTTGGAAACCAAGTCCAGTGGATTATTTTTTTTAACTTTTACGGAAAGTTGATCAAATTCTAAAAAACTACAATCACATAAATGATGATCTAAGAACATTACTTAGCAGCAGATCTTGCTGAACTACAGAACTTTAACTGTGAGCCAGTGTTACCGGGTTAAACATGGCTGGGTTCCAGTCACGGTTTAAGGCTCACAAGCTTTTAGCAAACTCTCACACATCTCATATCGATCAGAGAATCTCTCCTGAAGCAAAATAAACTTGTCTTTAAAATAAGTGATGGAAAATCTGAGGGGGAAGATGGCAACTCCTTACCCAGCAGACTGTGAAAAAGGTTGCTGACACCTCTGCGGTTCACCCCAGATGGTAAAAGTGAGTGAAAAAGAATGGGCTCCTCTGCATGCTCCAACAACTCTGGCAACAAACTGGAAATACACAAATACAAGAAAAAAAACAACAACTTTGACGTCAAATCTAAATAAAGATGCAATTCCTTAAGCTTTTATTAGGCCAGAGAAGCAAAGTGAGGCGAATCTGCTGACCTCATTTCAGTCATCTCCTCTTCCGCCTCTTGGATATCAGGTAATGCAGTGGAGATAGACGACCTGCACACACACACACACACACACACACACACAGGAGAATATGGATTAAAGTTTAAACCAAATGGAAACATGCAGAGGTCTCTTTTATCACCCACCCTTCTCTCTCTGATGTGTGCAGAGGAGAAATCTCTCGAGACTTCTCCCTTTGGTCCGACACCTCCAGAGGCAAGGCATCGTCAGCTGGACTCAAACAAGCAACACAAGAAGATCCTTAAGAGCACTGTCCTCAAGTTTAGATTATGGCAATCATAACATCCTGGATTACTTTGTCTATTTTGTCACACTTTGATATTTTACATCTTCAGGAACATTCAAACACCAGGCAAAGATATCCTGAGAAAATACAAAAAGCGCTTTTCAGAAGATGATTTTTATCTACTAGGGGAAATAAATCTACCCAAAACAACCGACACAAAAATGTATTTATCAACAGCTGGCCATGACTTTTTAGCATCTCTGTCTTTAGCCACACAAGAGGCTTTCTAACCATAAACAAACTGTTTAAAAAAGGACAGCCAGAGTTTTACAGAAGTCTGCCCCTTCTGGCCACAAGTCGAAACGACGCCAGTGTTATGATCCAGTCACTGATCAGACTCCAGTTTGGCCCCTTACGTCGCCCTAGACATAATTTTTATTTTTTAACTTTTATGTTAAGTCTATGATGGGGGTTGAGGTGCATTCATCTTTATAAACCATCTCTCCTGCTCTCTCACTCTGACAGAGACACAACAAAGTCTCGAGTTGAACCAGAGAGGGGGGAAAAATTACTTTATAAAGTTGTGCACTGCTCCTTTAAGATCAAGTTAGAAAATCTGTATCACTTTTAAGTCCAGATTTTGATTAGGCCACCTTAAATTATGGGCTTGCTGGTTTTGCTATCCAGCTGCATAATCCAAGTGTGTTAATGCTTAATGTGATAAATGATGACTGAGTATTTCCCACCAGGATTCTCTGTTTAAGACCTGAATTTATGCTTTTATCAGTAATATAATGCTACAGGTTCTATTAAGAAGCAAAGGATCCCAGACCATCACAATACTGCCATGTGGGACTGTCATTATACCGTTTCTTCTTTCCTTAAATCAGTTTTATGGGACACACACTATTCAAATGTAAATTTCTCCGAAAGTCTTTGGGATCGTTTTTTAGGACGTGGGTGACAGCTTTCAGTTCTTTTGGGTGAGAAAAGGTTCAGAACACGCCAACGGACTCCATCTTTCCTCCCTCTCTGTGTTCAATTTGGAATGCCTAGTTCATGGTGTCAGACTGGTTCTATTAAGGGGATTTTTAGAACCTTATTCACTTGGAATTTACTCAGGTTAACTCGGTCTGTTGTTAAAATGTCTTTGATGATTTGAAGCATTTAGGTACATTTAAAAAAAGCTTTAAAGTGGCAAACTTGTTCTCACAACCCACTCTGACAGGCTCCTAAGATGTTTTATTAACATTTTACCTGAAGTACCCAACATGTCCGACTTCATCATTGCTTCCTGGACCTGCATTCATACACAGACGCACAGGATTAACTTTAAATTCCTCAGACAGTCATCAGTTTGTTAGAAGATTAGCAGAAACACTTGGCTACACCTCTGTGCTAGTCTCTCTGAGTCTCTGCTCCTCTCTTTCTGCCACTTCCATCATCTCCCGCTCTCTTTCCTTCTCGGAGTCGGTGGACTCGGGTCCGGTCTCCCCAACCTGGAGGTCAGTGTCCAGCAGCTCTGTTATAGTGGCAGCCTGTCTCCACAGAGCCTCAATCTCCTTGGGCAAAACTGTAAGAAAATGTAGTTTTTCTCAGTATTGCCACGAAAGTCCTACATTTTTACTTCACAGGAAATCTTTCCTGCACTCAAAGACATTATCAGTAGGATTTGATGGTGGACAGGTGCTTCACTGACAGCTGCAGGGATTGTTGAGTAGCTCTGCTGGAGGTACGACCCTATGAGAGGGAAGCAGGTGAAGGGGAGGGGATGTGGTCTCTGTTAGAGGGTCGTCTATCTGCCGCTGCAGCTCCTCCTCCGAGAGCTGCGTCTCTGCATCGAAGAAAACCAGCTGCCTCCTTCTTCTTTTCTTCCTTCTCACCTCTATTTGGGCCTCCTGCTGGCATGAGTAGAGAAGGAAATGTCTATAAAAGTCATGAGTGTGAAAAAGCGAGGTGGAGAAAAGGTTCCTTTCTTTATAAAACAACAACCTCATCTCAAAAATCAGTTAACCAGAGATTTTCTTTTAGAAGAAAGGGAATATGAATCCTAACATTTTGTTCGCTTTCCATTTTCTCACATTACAAAATAGCCGCACTGACAACTAGGATAGAAAAGGTAAAACTCTGGCTTTATGAACGTCTGCTGGGTGTGTGTGAGATCCCATTTATCACTAATAAAAGAGTTGCGTCATTTCTTACATTTACTATATCAAAAATAATTTAAATTTCTGAATTTTTTCTTGAAGCAGCAACAATTTCACCCCAAAAACAATAAAAGAAATATGTGCAATAGTGCAATAGCCTTCGGCAGTGCCCCCCCTAATAAAAATAAACCCCACTGCATCATTATCCTGCACCAGCGTGACCAGTTTGTAGTACCACACAAACCTTAAATTTAACTCCCTTAAGAAAAAAACAACAGCCTGTAAAATGAAGGACTGGTTCAGAACAAAAATTTTAGTTTTCAATCAAAAAATAAGAGGGCACTCACCTCTAACTCGGGGCTCCTGAGCTGGCCCTCGGCTGCAGAGGGCGGCGAGGGGGGCCTAGAAGCAGAGACTGGGGTGAGCTGGTCTGTGGGGGGACCCTGCTGCTCCGGGGCCAGCAGCTCAGGACCCTCACTGGAGACAGTGGTTGGCTGCAGTCTGACAAGGATTAAGAAAATAAGAATAATAATCAGCCAGTCTGTGTTTCTCTGATCTTATTTGTGCTCATATGTGAGAACGGAGACGTTACTCTGCAGTGGATCCTGTCATTTCCTTAGTCTGTTCTTTCTCCTGCCCTCTCATCTCTTCTTCTGGTAGCTCCAAACTTCCTGTTGACATCCCAGCATTTCCTAATTGATAACTTGTGCTAAATAAAGGGGATAGTCTAATGTTTTCCCAAACCTGGAAAGTCATCGGGTTGGTCCAACAGCATATTGATCGTTTGTGCAAGGTGGCCAGCAAAATCCTCCCCCTCAAACTGGATGTGAGAGGAAGAATGCAGTGAGACTCGGGCTGGAGGGATTTTTACCTCCGTTTCAGCCTGCAGCCATACCTCTGCAGCCGGGGCAGGAACGGGCTCAGCCTCCCTTAGAGTGATGCTTTCTGGTGATGCAGTGATGCCTGAGGCAAATCATGGGGTAGCGAATAGAGCGCATGAAAAACAAGAAGATGAGGATGGAATAGGGAAACACTTTCACAAATAATCACAAGTTAAAATAAACACGATACATCCACCTCCATATTGCATAGAAGGCCTGGGATCTTTTTTGGTGAAAAATGTTTGCCCATCCCAGTTAAAGCTAAACTAGTACAGTTATTTCCCACAATAAAAAATACCACCCTGTTGTAGGAACCGTAAGGATGTTCTAAGGTTGCAGACTTCTACTGCCTTAGTTTTTCTCAATAATTTTGAATGTTCCCCACCAGAGAAAGGGAAATGATGGGTTTTAAACCCTTTTCGGGCTTCCTGAAAGCTTCAGGAACCTCTTCAACCCTCATCTTGGTTTTCACACTAAACACACTTGAATTCCATAAAAATCGAAATATTTTAGGAGGAAAAAAGTAGGGGTGTGCTTATTTATTCCTCACCAGAAAGGGTGTTTTTTTAATACTCACATATTGCAAAATATCAGTATTTTTCCTTAGATTAAACCTATGCTACTTAAGCCTGATATCCAAACCCTGCAGGGGCCCATTAGTCCAAAGAACAAAAAAAAAAACACATGCAGTCATGTGGAATCCCAAATTATCTCACATTGATGTCTCATTAAATTATCTGATTACTGCACATGACATGAATCATCCTACCAGTTTGCACGTCTGGTGAAAGAGAAGCAGATGAGCTGCCCAATGGAAGCTCAGGAGAAGCTCCTCTCAGGTATTCCTTACTCATCTGACAGAAAAGGTAAGAACACACTGACTGTTATTCTCTCCTCTAAGTATCTGTTCATTCCTACCTCACTGTCAGTCACTACCTGAATCAGTGAGCTGGGACTGGGGACGACATTGTGGAGAAGCATCTCGCCAAATAAAGGGTCTGGAGCTCCTTCAGTGTCCTCCATCACAGACAGAGGATCAGGCAGGTCTACTCTTTGCCTTAAAGGGGAAAAAAAAGTGTTTTTGTTGTTGTTTTCTCCCAATTTTAGCAAACGTTCATACCTGCTGTGGTCTTCCAAATCAATTTTAGTGATGCTCCATTGTTTTAGTAGCCGGTCCTTCATAAACTGAAGCTCATCTGAAGGGAAACACATTTTATCCAGAGTAACATAACTTCAGTGAATCTTCTTTGAATCTCCTCTTACCTAGAAAGATGGCACACTGTCTGTGGTAGACCAGGATGACGCCGTACTGCAGCTGAGAGGAGAGGTAGAGGGAGAAGCGAGGTCGGGGCAGACCTGGCTGAGGAGGGTTGACCAGCCCCAGCACGTAGTTCATGATGTCATTGCTGCCAGAGCATCAACATGGTTTACATCATCACTCTGCTGCCGAGTCACCAGGACTACTTTGTTCCTCTTGATTATTACATCTCTGACAGGTGAGCATTTTTCTACATCTACATAACTTCCTCTCAGATTGTAGAGTAACATTGCAACTCTGCTGCAAAGTGATATTGATATCATGCTTCTTTTTTCCTGTCAGTGCCACAGACTTTACAGTCCCTTAAAAAAACAGAGGAGCATCACTACTCTTAAATCTGCAAAGGTCAACAATAAGGTGGATAATTAATATATGGTGTTCTGCCATTCGCTTGTATTTTGTTTAATTCTGGAAAAACATAATAGAGTGAGTGCATAGACAACTTCTGGTGAAGTAGTAAGGTCAACAATGAAGGCACAAGGGGAGCCAAGTAGTTAGGGCATAGAGTTGAAACCCACTCCCATAGACCACAACCCTGGGACTCTGAGCAAGACCCTTAACCCCACACTGCTCCTCTGGCGCCCCCTGATGGCAGCCCACTGCTCCCTAAGGGGATGGCTTAAATGCAGTGGTAAATTTCTCCAATGTGAGATCAATAAAGTTCAATTATTATTATAATAAGAAAATCAATCATAAATGTAGAATCACCTATTATCACTCATTTTGTACTTATATTTTTCTTGCATTGTGTAGAAAATTACGCAGAACATTCCATATAACATATTCTCAAGTTAAATCATAGTTGAGAAAGCCGTGAAAATTATGATAGAGATCGGAATATAAATCATTTGAAATTATAGGACTGCAAATTAGATATTAGGAAAAAAAATGGCAGAAGACACATATGAAGACATTTAAAGTTATGTTAATGACCTTAAGAGGACCATAGTCACACCACATGATACTTTGACACTCAAATAAATAAATAAATAAATAAATAAATAGAATTTTTTTTCTCAGCAATTCATAGTGAATTATGTTTTTATGCATTTAAAATTTTTCAAATATATAAATCATTTTTTATTGGAGCTGGTTGCGTTTTGTGAGGAAAATAACACAACAACCAGATGTTTGAGAATCTCGACTTTGATTAAAACTTTAAATCCAAATTTTTCAATGGGACAGTCTGAAGCACATGTGCAGAGAAAATATACAGGAAGGAAGACTTACCAAGTCCTTGTCACATCTACTCTCAGTAAATCCCTGCGAGGGACTTTGATGCCTTTTGTGGCAACCAGCCTGAAATATACATAAAGATTGGTTCTAGTTTCATTGATCAATCAAATAAGACTAATTCAGTAATTAAATATCCATTTATTACAAGAAAGGGGGACATTTGTTATTAATTGCATTCTAATTTTCATGGTTTAGGGATTTCTCCAGCATCCAATCATTCCCCTCCACCACTAACTATAGAAGACAAACAGCAAACTTTTCACACTAATATTGGATGCTTTTGCTTTTTATTTTAAACTTCTTAATTTCCTCTAAAACCTGCTTATATCACCTTTAATATAAAAAAAATAGTATTAAAACTGGTCTAAATGTCCACATAAGAGCACCTGTGGGAATCAAGCTGACTTTCTTTGATCTTCTCTTTTATCTCCAGAAATCTTATATTTAATGAAGGAATGTAAGCTTCAAAGGGTTTTTGTTACTTTTTTTTTTTAAAGATGCACCTGCACCCTGCCAGCTCTGCATATAAAGAAAAAAAATGGCTAAAAGATGATAGATTGACTTTCTTTAGAGGATTTTATTGTGTAAGGCAAATTAAAAAATGTTAATCGGAAAACTATTAAACTATTATCTGGTAGTTTTGAGAAAATAAAAAAAAGGACAAAAAGTTTTTTTTTCAGAAATATTAATTCTTTTGAGAAGCGTTATCCATCTTGTATCATAAATTCTAAATTTAAATAATAGATTTTACAAGTTTTTTTCCCCCTTTATTTAGGAATGATTTCAAGAAGCAATGCAAAAAATTCAGCATCAAAGATTATACCAAAAAAAATCAGAGAAACAGATCTGAGAAATAATAGTAATGATGTAACGGGGTTTTACTCACCAGATCGTAGAGAAACATCCTGAGCGACGGTTTAAGACAACCGGGTGGTAAAACATGCTAACAATGAGACAGAGAAACAAAGAACAGCCCAACCCATCAAAGGATAACTGCTTCTGTTCTGTTAGCAGGTTGGGGGCTTTCACTGACAAATGTTTGGGGTTTTTTTTAGATTTGGGGCAATCTGATAGGTGAATGTGTGCATGAACGCTCCGCCCTGCTGGATGAATTTAGAGGACTGGACTAGTTTGTGTGAGCCTGGACTTAACTTAGTAGAACTACAACAACCTGGAAAATAACCACAGTTTTACTCAGTAAGCGTTTGTTTTTTTAAAAGAATAAATAACTTAACAATGAAAGCAGTAATAACTGAATAATGCAGGATGTCTGGTCACTGAAGAAACTTTTATTCAGAGGTACAGAAAACTTTGCATGAAACAACTTCAGAAACTTTGAGAAACACGCTGAAAAAAATAAAAACAACAAACAAAAAGAATGAGATGTCATAAAAATGAACTTAGAAATACAATAACAGAAATGGGTACAGTGTGAAGGGGCTTGCTGGGGGGAACAGAGGTCCGGGTTGATCACAGCAGCCGTCCTCGGCACTCTGTGGATCCGCAGCAGCACAGCAGCTCTTTGCCTTCCACGCTCCCAACCTCGTAGTTATAATCCCAGGTCAGTTCTGTGCCGGCCCGTATCCGCCTGAACCAACCCAGAATAAAATTATTAACAGAGATAGAGGGCCAATGTGTCGGAAAATAGGAGAATTTGTAAAATAATGGATGAGTAAATGAATCAAAAAATAAACTCTTAAGGAACTTCAGATCCATTTATCCTGCTGCAATAATCCGAGTTTAAATATGAAACATCTTTTGATGGAAAAAGTTTAATCTTTACCACATTCCCTTAAGCTAAGCTCCAATTACTTCTTAAGTATAAAATCTGGGAATGAGTCTGAATTTAAAGATGTTCCAGTCACAGATCTATGCCTTAACGTTCAAGTAGTTCCTCACTTTAGAGTTTAATAAGAAAGTTGAGAGGAAATAATGCATGGCCATCAAACATCTTAGGTGTAGCACCTATTTGTATTTGCTGACTACATTTGTCTGAAAAGAAAAATTAAATCCTGAAATTTTTGACAACTCTTTAACAAGTTACTGAAGGAAACATAAAAAAAAATTAGGAATGGACTTTAACTAGGCCATCCTAACTCATAAATATGCTACCTATTCTATTGGCTTGATTTATTTTAATTAGTTACCATAGCGACAACCAAATTCTAATCAGTTACCATAGCAACAACCAATCAGTTGAGTGAGAGTTTATTACCTTGTCCTAAAACTGTGTAAAATCTTGTTTTTGGTCTTTAATATTAAACTCTAATAAAAAATACGAGGTTTCAGGTTGTTGAAAGTTAAAATGCTCAGTTTTAAAACACTGGATGGTTTTCAGTTTTTGTTTTTATTATTCCTTGTCTAGAAAGAATGCATTAAAGCTTCCATCTGCCTGCTATTTTTGAACATAGATCTCTGATTCTTGTCACTCACTTGCTGGCAAAGAAAGCCACCCAGGGGAATCTCAAGTCGTGTGTGTCAACGAAGACATTCTGGACAAAGAGGTTAGGACTGCAGCTATGCTGTAACACAGATAGAGGGATATATGTCAATTTTATTTATAAAGCACTTTAAAACCGATTGTATCAGCACCAAAGTGCTGTACAGTTTTTATAAAACCATCAATAATGAATAAAACACACAGAAATTAAACACAAAAATAAGAACAAATAGGTCAGATAGGTTACAGAGTCAGACCTAATTTTAGTGCTAAGAAATATAGGAGTTTTAAAATGATCCAAACATATATGCCAAATTAAGGCATGCAGAGCTGTTACTAATACACAACCAGTTAATAAGTGACACACAATGCCAACAGGAAAGAAATCCATATTACATTGAGGTAACGTCCAAGATTTCCTTCCAACTTGGCATCGATGATGTAGCAGGACTCTTCTCCGTCGAAGAACAGGCGGGTGTTTTTAGGAGCGTTTTCTGTCCCTCCTCCAGACTGCCCCTGCTGCCCCGGCTTGCTTCCCTGACCGCTGGGTCCGACCCCTCCTGCAGACGGAGCCGTCTTCACCATCATGCTGTGGGTGTTCTTCAGGGCGATGCCTCGGGTGGATTTCACCGCCACCTGCTTCTTAGTCACACCGGATACAGAAGCTACAGGAGAAAAGAAACAAAGAACACGTTAAAACCATGATACATGTAGAGTAAGATGCAGTGTTTGCTGAAGCAGCGTTCACCTGGGGGGACTTTTTCTCTCTCTTTTTCCCGGTCTTCAGATCCAGAGCTAATCGTTTGAACATCATCGCTGTCAGAGAGAGTCATGACGTCCTGTTTTTTTGCAAGGTCAGTCTTTATTTGACTGTAAAATAAGAATATCATAGAGGGTCAGGCAATTTGACTGGCAGTTTATTTGAAAAGAGTTGGAATAAAAAAGAAAAATGCAAATCTATTAAATTTAGCAGAGAGCAGGGGATTTTTAACAAACCTCTTGTTGTCTCCAGTTTCCTGTTGGAGAGAGAAGATAATACTGAAATAAATATCATCCAGGATATAAAAAAAAAACATTCAGAGTTTTATTTGTGAATCTACTAGCTTCTTTAAAAAAAACAAAGGTCATTCACCAGAAACCAGAATAATAAACTTCATGATTTAGTATTTGATTAATTTCACTGACCTTCTTCAGTCCTTGGCCGGTCAGCCAGGACGCCACTTTGCTTTTCCCCGTCTCCTCAGGCATAGAGGGCGGTTTGTCATCTTCTTGTCCTTTGGCTGAGACACTCAACCCATCTTTGCTGTCCTGACTTCCTGCAGCAGAAGAAAAAGTAACGGGTTAAGGCTTAACAATACATTGTTTATAATTCATCATTGCCATTTCAGTGTATGCAATAGGTATTTAATATTGCTAGTGTTATAGAATCACATTTTTAAATGCTAATTTAATATTTAGCCAGCTGAACAGTCTCAAGGCAGCAGACATAAATGACATTACCCAGAATGCTAATTGTCACTGAAGAAAAAGAGAATAAATTATTAATATTCCGTTTCTCGCTCCATTTCTATCCACTCACACTATACGCAGCACTCTGCTATACCCAATGTTGACCCCTCCCTCCTGCATTCAAATGTAGGTGATAACATGTAATAAGTCGAACACGTTCTACTGAGAAATGTGAGAAAATGTGCTCCTCTGCTCCAGATTGCATTGCTGTGGGTGTTGGCTGTTAGTGTCATTGACCAAACCATAGTACAAATACACAATGGTAGGCTAACACTAGATACCTTCTTTGTTTCCTTTGGCCTGTCCACGTGTGGTGTAACTCCTCCACACAGAACCAGGGGTGTAGAAGTTTTCCTTCACAAATGTGTCATCTGAACTGTCGCTTTCGTCTTCACTCTTTGAATCTTTTTCCTCTTCGTTGTTGCTATCATCTGATGAGCTGGAGCTTTGGGCTGCGGCAGGAGAGCGTGAAGAGTGGAAACATTCAGTCAGTTAATGACACCGCGGCTAGTAAAAATACAGCAGCCACCACCTCTCATCTTTTCTCACCTTTTTTCCTGGCACTGCTAGAGACTAAAGCAGATGGCTGGATTTTCATCCTAGACACATCCACGCCACTTCCTTCGCTGTCTGAACAGTGCGCCTCGCTCTCGTAGCCTTCCTTGAAGTTCTCCACACTCTCAATGTGGTCAAGGTTAGCAAAATACTCGTCACCCATCTCCAGACCTTCTTTGTCAGCAAAGTCATCCGTCAGGATTTTACCTGTAAAAAGAGAAGGAAAGGAATAAATTGTCCACCTAGAATAGTTGTCTATGCATGTCTGTTTTTTTTTGTTGCTTCTAATGTAAAGTATTTCTCACCAGCATAAATGCAGACAAATGAGCCCTTAGCTATATCGTCCAGGCAACGGATGCCCCAGCCTTTGTTTTGGGTCTTAAAGAGCTGCAGACGAACCTGCAGGCCATGCTGCACCAGCCGGTTCGTGCACATCTGAGCACAACATTTGCACCTTTTGTTGCATTCGTAGATCCTGAGATGGAGCAAAATGGAAGAAAGCAAACCATTTCATATTAAACATCAGAGTTAAAAATCTTTTTTACTCTAGGAGGGTGTTATTTCCCTATAAATTATGTAGCTGTCTGACCCTGTAGGCAGGCACTCTTCTAATCGCTTGTATGAATATCCTGCGCTGTGGTTGATCTGTCCCCCGGGCGTACACCCTGACGCCTGGAGGGTCAGCTGATGGCAGGAACATTTGGATCTGTAATTAAAGAGAAAAAAAACATACAAGATTGCATGAAAATCATCGGGGGCTTATTTGGACTGTAATTTAAAAAAGGACAGAGCTTGTCTTTACTAACTTGTCTCGACAGCCGTCTGTACATTCACAGCCAACCAGGAAGTCTGAACTGGTGTTAATAAATACTCCGTCTTCAGGAATGCGCTCCTTACCTTGTAGGAACAAGATCAAGAATCGGACAAAATATTTAATTTTATAGTTGGAATATATATATATATATATATATATATATATATAAATAAATAATTAATTAATATGTAAAGATTTCCATTTTATTCAGGATCTTTTAAACTGATCTGCAAGATGATTAAAATGCTAGTTTTTTATTTCATCTGGTAAGAATATTTTTTATAGTAGGACACAAATCTGCAATTTAAATGCATCCCAACTATTGATACCACTTCTGCTAATGATGTCTATTACCCCACGTTACAAAGGATGTTTAGTCCTTGTGTCAAACTAGCCTGAAGCAACCTTCAGGTTGATAACAAGCCAGCTTACTGGGTTAAACCCGCTAACCAAATGATGAATAATACAAGCAATCTCATATTTGGTATGAAATCAGAGGGATTCTTACTGTATTTTACATTAGGAGGTGGAGTCGTATCAATCTCATTAACACAGGACAGAGGGATGTCCTCCTTCCCACTAGTGATGTCTGGAATGTAATAGAAGGGCCTTTGTGGCTGGAATGGCCGGTCCACCAGCACATACGCGTCGAGACAGAACATTTCTAAGAATATAAAGTCACATTGGGTCTGGAAGAGGTAGTTCTGGATCTCCCCCATGCTACGCAGGCAGAGTCCACATGGAGCCTTGTAGATAACATGGAAGGACATCTGAGGGGTGAAAAGAGGAGGGGTTACTTTACTCCGCTCAGGAGAGCAGCATGGTAATATGATTTAAGGGCTCCCGCTTACCTTTCGATTGACTTTGCGTCGCCCCGTCATTCGTCTGAAATCGTACAACAGCGGAGTGAGGAGGGGGTTCTTTCCTCTGTGCAGGTCTGATTTTGCTGGTCGAACACGGTTCAGACAGGCAGGCTGACAGGTGTGTGCCAGGTAGAATATTCGGTCTGTGGGGGCTCTGTAGGAAGGCTGCTGAGGGATGGTGGCCATAGCATGAGTAACAACAGGAGGAGGAGAAACCAGGGTGGATGTCGGCCGCTGATATGAAGACGTGAAGGAGGATGTGGGAGCATTGGAGGTACTCACTACTTTTATACTGTGGGTTAAAAGAAAACAAGACATGAAAACTTTAGTTGATGTACAAAAATGGATCTGATTTCTACAGTTAGAGCAGTCAGTGGTTGGTTTTAAATGATAAGCCTGTGCAAAATATTACACGGGATTAAAAACATTTCTTTTTAGCAGGATGTATGACTTTTAACATTTTACAATTATGTTATTGATTTTATTCACAAGTGTTTTAAAGCGATATTTAGTTTTAAATTTTGATTTTACCCTTCTATGATGATTGTACCTGTAGCATTTACATTTTCTTAAATGTAAAGTGCATTACAAATAAAATGTACTATTATTATTAACATGGAGAAAAGATTGTATGGGAAAGGAATGGACTTAATTATCAAAGAGGCATAAAATAGAAAGATATAGCTATAGCTATAGGTAGCAGTATAGAATTAACGGGCTTCCCCCCACACTCTGGTAAGAACCCAGAGGATTATTTTATTTATTTGAACAATTATAAATAAATAAAATTTTCCTGCCGAGGTGAAAATACAGCCACCCCCAAAATAGAAGCCATTTGAAAATAAACTTAAAATCTATTTCCAGTCATCAAGCAGCAACAGTAGAGCCTCTAAGATCCCTGCATCTGTACCATAAACCTGCAGCACCAAAACATCCATTGTTAGAGCTGATAACAGATCAGGGCATTTAGGTAGCAGCACATGATTGTTACCTGTGACTTCCTGTGACTTTTACAAGAGTAACTGAGTTTTAACAAACACTGTGTCTATGTGAGTGATCTGTTTTAAACAATTGAAAATTATTAGTTAGGAAGAAGAGAACCTACGTCGAGAGGCTGCTGGTATTGGAGGATGCTGCCTGCAACATCTTGGAGGCATGTGTCCCTCCCACACCAGGGACGAAAGGAGAGGTGCTCTTCTTTGCCATCTGATGTTTATTTCTTGATAAAACAAAGAGAGGAATATTAAAACCTCTTATTTCAAGGATTGTGCCCAATCAATATTTACTAAAGAGTTGAGTATTATCCCCATGAAGGCGTAACAGTTGAAGTAAAACAGTTGAAGGGCTGAAACAAATAATCACATTCATTGAATATTCAAATAATCAACTAATTTAATAATAAGTTAATCGTTAATTGGAGTATAGAGACTAAAACGTGCCTTTAGCTGACACAGCAACCCACTTATAGCAGTAATTATACCAAGATTGTAAAGAAAAATATAAACATTTTGCATTTAAGATAAAAAAAAAATGTTGATATGCTCTTTATAGAACTACTCAATTGGAAATGTTGGAGTTTTACCTGGTTTGATTTAATAAAAAGTCTATTTCAAAGAATATTTGGCTATCAAAATATTAATCAAAAAATTATTGACAGATTCATCGATTTGCAAAATAATTATTACTAGCAGCCCTAAAGATTTGAAGTACAGGAAAAGCTATAAAAGTATAATCTTTATGATGACTTATAAATATATGACTGTACATATTAAGATAAAGCCAAACTCCAACAGAACCATTGAAAAAAGTGTTTTATTCTGCTTAATAAATCCCTCCATATTCCTATTTCTAAAGCAGGTAATACTCCAAATGACTGGGCTGTTCTGTGAGGTTTAACCCTGTTTTCATCTGCAGAGGTCTCTGTGACATGTTTTAGAAGCATACTTACTCAACACGTGGAAGCTGGCCAGATTGTGAGGGCTGTGGGGTCTGAGGGGTTTGTTGGGTCTGCGGTGACTGCTGGACTTGCTGGATGGGCTGGGGCTGTGGTCGCTGCTGTAGCTGTTGAATTAGTGTTGTAGCTTGAGGCTGGCTGGGTGCTGATTGTTGAGGTTTGGTAGGAGAACCTCCGACACTTTCCACACCAGTATATTGGACTACTGGGCCTTTACTCCTTAATGCTCCTAGAAAATTTGGAACAGTGGGTACAGTTTAAAACACCTCAGACTGAGAGTACTTTAATTATAACTCTATTTAAATATGACTTTAACAAAGTCTCCCAACTCAGGATATGGAGGAGGACTAAGACTGCTCTCCAAGCAGTACTGGCAGCTTGTTCAACAGCATTTAATTTAAAACACAAGCAGCTCCAACCACAGTGGAGAATTTTAATTAAACTGTCTTCCCCAAAGCAGAGAATATAAAGGAATAAATACTGTTCAAAATTCTATTAACACTGTAACTCTAGCTATGACTGACCCTAAGGTTTCAAGTTTGTGTTTTAGGATTATCCCAAACTACCAAACTGTAGGATAAGTTTTACAATGCTGTAAACAGTTATATAAAACTAACTGCTGTGCTAGGAAGGGTTAAACCATAATTTTTAAATATTTGCTTTACAACAGTGCAGCCTCAGTTCAAAAAGTAAAGGAAGTGTAGCAAAGGGAACAGATAACTTATGCTTAAAGTAATGTTTAAAATAAAAGTCTACAGTCCAAATAAAATCTGTATTAATAATATATAAAGGTCCAGCAAGTGGGGCTTGGCTTATGACGCCCAGTCCTACCTTCCAAAGGCGATCTGGACTAAATGGTGTATGATAGTCAGAAAGCACATGAAACTGCAGAATGCTCTGCTGAGGTGTTTATTTCATGGTAAGTTTTTTTTTTTTATGAAGGAATGTGTAAATTAAAAATTAACAAAAATACTGTAACTCTGAGAAACAGCTGTTAAAAAAAAGACATAAAGAAAAGGTTGTGCAACTGCAGAGCTTTTGTGCAACATCAACTGAGTTTGACCTCAATAAGTAAAGGCAGTCTGAAGCAGAAGGTAAAACTAAATAATAAAGCTATCTGCTTGGTCCACATCTTTTTCGTTATTGCTCCAGTAAAGTGGAAAAAACGGAAATGGGAAAAGATTTGTATCCAATAACTGTATTGGTCTGGAAACCTTTGCTTCTCAATGATCTTGTCCATGATACAATAGAATTTAAACCGACCCAGTCACATGATTGGATGTGATGTGTTCAGTAAACACAGCCACAAACCGGGTCTGTTTCCCTGACCCATGGCAGGCCGGATGAGGGTTCAGAAATAGGCCCTCTACCAATCAAATTATAGGAAAAGGTATGTTTTCTAAAAATTGGCTACATTTGTAAGAAAGGTTTGTTTTTTAAGTAGTGCTCATATTCCACATCCCAAACACAGACAGAAAAAACAAGCCCTCAATCTATCCCTCTGTTCTGGGTCAGAAAGCTTCTCCATCACTATGGCAACGAAGCGGTGCCGTGTCTGTCACATGGAAAAACTAGCTTTAAACTACCGGTGCAAAGACCTCTCATTACTCTAATGGTGCCAACAGACTCAGCAGTTTCTGCCAGAGTGATGTTGCCATCTTTGATCATGGAGGCAATATGACAGGTCTGATAGATATTGTTTGGAGGCTGATTAACATTTTCCAATTGATTTTTGTAGCAGGTTTTAGATTGAGGTTACTATCAGGTGCCTCATTAGCGCTGGACAGAGGATCTGGGCTGAAGGTGATAAAACACTTTAGAACATCAACATCCACAACTAGCTTTGAGGAAAAGTAGATTATCCAAACTATTTAGGAGACGAGGGAGAAAATGGAAGGAGGACAAAGATAAAGGAGTAATCTAGAATGCTAACTTTTATTTTTTATCATTTATAGAATCTCAATGCTCATGTCGGACTATGTTAACCTGGGCCAGATAAGACTGCTATCTGCCCGTGGCATAAGCAATAGAGTTTTCATAGCTCTCTGTCTGAATCGCACAGCTGTAAAGGAACTATGAGCCAAACTTCTGGCTCCTCTTTACCCAGTTCCCACATTTATGTAAAAGGCTTGCCTCAACCAATGCAGGCTTGCAGAATCTCAGAGAAACCTCGGATCAAGTCAGGCCACATTAAATACCAAATAGTAAAGCTGCAAATTTTTGTGTTTTTTCTATTCTGCATGACTGAGTATCTTTACCCATGTTGGGTCTTGTCCTCTGGTGGCCAGCCAGCTTCTTCTCATGGGTGTTTGCTGAAGCCAGTTTCAGGTTGAACATGGGCTCCAGCCTGGTGGATCCTCTATAAATCCATTCACTCCTCTTATCATCCTGCTCGACACCAAGAAAACACAAAAACTGATGTAAACAAAGTGTTACACTGTTGTTAGAAAAAGCTAAAAAAAAAAAAAAAAAGAAACACTGTTGATTCAGAAGTAAAGCTCTGAAAATACTTAAATTCAGGTGTGGCTTATACGCACCAAAAAGAGAATCTTGACTAAGCTGCTGTCCACCTCTTCCACTTTGCTCTTCCACCACGTCCCCTCCCACTCAGTCTTGATGATTTGACCGACCTTTAGGAGCACCATCGGCCTACTGGGATAGGCAGAGATGTACTCCTCGATGAAGTCGCGGCAAGACGCATCCTCGATGTCTTCCCAAGTACGTTTCACTATGCAAAGAAAAAAATCATCCTTTTTAACATTATTTTCTACATGCAATTTATTTTAATATAGAGAAAATAAAACTTCCAATCTTACAAGGTCTGCAAACTGGGTACAGTTCAGGAAGGATCACATATGAAGCATAGCCATCGTCAAAGAAGATCAGAAACCTAAAACAAATACGTCAGAGAATCAGAAACTTGAGGTAACTACCTGTCTAACGTTGCTGATTTATAAGCATACCTCATGCGGTTCTTGTTGTTAGGCATCTCTGCTACGATTCCAGCATACAGCCAAACCAAGTTGCCATCTTTGTATTTGGCAACCACACGAGCGCCAACATACAGGCTCTCCAGCGTGGGGTTGTACTCAAAAGCCACATGATTTCCAGACAGCAGACTCTTGCCTTTATCAAACCTTACCTTATACTTAAATATACCATTTCCTGAAAATAGAAAGAGCTCCGGAATTATTTAAAATGTCAAGAAAATAATAAACTTTGTTTGAAGGAAAAAGTATGTCCAAAAGCCAGAAACGTGAAGTTTAGAATGATTTTAAAGAAAGCATACCAACAGGGTTAATTGCAACCAGGGTGCCTTTGTGCCATGTCTTAGTGCGTTTCTTTCCCAGGATGCTCATCCCGACTTTGAGCTCGTCCTCTTTTATGTTAGGATTCGGCTTCGTCATTGTCTGAGATGGGGCGTGTGATACAAATATTGCTGGTGTGGAGGTCTGAATGCCTGGTGGAAAAAATAAAAAATATCCCACATTTGTAGCAAAGATGGCTCCACAGAGGAGGATGTGAGAAGCGTTGTGATCCCTCACCTGGCTGAGCTGCAGACTGCACCGCTGTTCGTATCAAAGCAGAACCAGTGGAAGGCTTGGTGACTATTTGGACCACCTTCTGGACCTGCTGGGTGGCTTTCTGCAGGGCTGTGGAGGCGTCTTTTAACTGGTAACAGAGATCAGACAACAATAGACACATGATCACATAGATAGTTTATAACAACTTCTAAAGGGGTTGTAATTTTAAAAGACAATATAACTTAATCAATAAGTCATTTGTGTTAGTTTTGTTACTGGCATCATATCCTAAGACACACAAAGTGAAATAGTTCTCATCTGCACATATACATATGTACTTATTTAGCGGTGGGACTCAATGCAAATTTTTTATCAAATCAGTAATAGGGTGTTTAATTAATTAATCAAACTTTTTATTAAAATCATGATGACAAAAAAATAAACAATAAAAATATGAGCACAGCAACGCATATATACATTTAATTTTATCCACTATTAAGGTTATTAAATTAGCAAATTGATTGAAAGTTAAGTTATTTAGCTTTCTGTAGAAACTCCAGATACTTTATGCAAATTCGATGAAAGACTTTTCTTTTTTTTGGTCATGAACAGCACTTTGAATTGTTTTGCTACAGAAATGTGTTTTATAAATAAATTTGCCTTCCCTACAGTAAAATGATTAATTAATTAATGTAAAGCTGACTAATCTTATCAATCAACTAACGATTAATTGAGAAACATAAAAAAAAGAAAACTGTTTTCTTCTTATATCAAGAGGATCATGAAGGGTTAAATATTAAATATTTTTGACAATAATCAATGTATTAAATGGTGACCAACTAAAAAAAAGAAAAAAAATCCTAACTCATTATTAAACTAAACATATCTAGAAGATATACCGTATTTTCCACACTATAAGGCTCACCGGATTATAAGGCACACTTTCAATGAATTTGCCTATTATTTTTTTTCATATATAAGGCAAATCGCACTATAAGGCGCATAGAACAGAAGCTACAGTAGTAGCTGGGCTTGTTATGCAACAACTGGATGCAGCTAAACTAAAGAGAATGTGAATGAAACAGTCAGATAACTAAGTCAAACTTGACTTCTCATTCCCTGTGGTGCGAACATTCACCTTACTTGCTCCCATTTTATCCACAGTTTGGTTCACAGGAATATCAACGGTGAAAGGAACCTCGTCTATGTTGATGACATGCTCCTACCGAATCTTTTTTTCAGAGATCTTGTTTTTGCAATATGCGTGGAAAGAGGCCAGCTTTTCTTTACAACCTTGTGGCAGTTGCTGCAAAACAGTAGTTTTTCTGAGGATGGAGAGATTTAAGGTCTTTTCAAGCAACACTTCTACTTGCTGCTCGCTGTTCGTGTTTGTCCTCCAAATGTATCCATCTTGCTTTGTTCCCTTGGAAACTGTTTAGTCTTCTTTACTTGGCGCAGGTCATCTTCTTGCTTCCTCCACTTCCGCACCATTGATTCATTAATGTTTAATTCTCAAGCTGCTGATCTATTCCTATTTTTTACTGCATAACTGATAGCACTGAGTTTAAACTCACGTTGTAAGCCCATCTCTTGAAAGGAGCCATTATGGGGTCTTAAACACAAATGGAAATGACCTAGTATGCTCCCATGAGAGAAAAAGGAGTCGGCGGCTGCTCCCCGTAGCTGCGAGACGTATTGAAGCCTAATCTTGATCCATACTTAGGGCGCACCGGATTACAAGGCGCGCTGATGGTTTTTGAGAAAATTGAAAGCTTTTAGGTGTGCCTTTTAGTGCGGAAAAATATGGTCACAAAACAGGAACCTAGGTTACTGAGGAAAAAATAAAATACATGAGAAACAATATTTTCCAATTATCACTAAAACACAGGGTATGTTGCTATTACTATTGCACTGAGATGCTTTTAAAGCTTGAATACCCCAAGCAGAGAAACAGTTGAGATGCTGCTTGTGCATCAGATTTACAATTGTACAAGAAACAACAAATGCAAGCGCTTCTGACTTAAGAAATGCAATGCAATTAACTGTGTGAATTTATCCTTCTGCATTAAAATGTACATAATTAATGAATTCAGAATAAGTCCTGGCACAATTACCAGCCACTTAATTAGGTTCACCTAATCAACTGTTGGTTAAAGCACATTTCTAATTAGCCAATCAGATGGCAGCAACTCAGTGCATTTAAGCATGTAGATATGGTGAAGGCAAACAACTGCAGTTAAGATGTAGCACTGAAATGGGAAAGAAAGGTAATCTAAATTACTTTCGACATGGCATGGTTGTTGGTGCCAGGCGTACTGGTGTGAGTATTTCAGAAACTGCTGATCTACTGGGATTTTCACTCACAACCATCTCTAAGGTTTACAGAGAAGGGTTGGAAAAAGCGAAAATATCCAGTTCTGGGGGCGCAAATGTCTTAAGGGTTACAGGAAAAGAAATAGTCAAAGATCATGGTAGCCAAATAATACAATTAATCATTCATCATGGACACTAGGTCATCAGAGGACAAACACAGAGGGATTCGCTGGCTGTTCTCACCACTGGGTCTTTAGCTGGCATTAGTGGCTTCGACGGGGGAACCACTGATGGTGGAGAAAAGAAGGGAAAGGGAGAAAATAAGGCTCATGTGGCAGCATAGGTGACTCATTTGTAGAAAACTGTTCCTTACAGCATCCTACGGCGATGACGTCATCATCTTCATCATCATCTATCTCGATGACTTCAGAGGGCAGCCTTCTTCCTCCGCCTCCCTCATCCTCTGAGCTGCTCTCCCGATAGACCAGACCGTTACTTTCATACACAGCCTTCACAAGTTTCTCACACTCCGTTACAGACCTGAAGAAACCAGAGAGTCTTAATAGCTGGGAGAATACTGTCACTGATTATTTGAGCCGATATAACGAGTAAATTCTACCAATGTGAGATCAATAAAGTTAATCAATCAATCAAAACAACACATAAACCAATGAAAGTAACAAGTTTTACTGGTATGCATCGTTGAGAAGTTTCTCTGTCTCGGCCTCCTCTTTCTCTTTCTGCTCCACCCATTCTTCAAGCTCTTTCAGCTGCGCTTTTTTCTTCTGCACAACTTCACTCTGCTCCACAGCCTCTTCAATCCATTTCTTTAGCTCATCAAGTGAAACTCCCAACTCGTCCTCCAGACTGGGGTCCCAGGTATCAACCTCCATTCTGAGGAGAGAACAGATAAAACACAATTATCAATTTTATGTCTTTTAGCAAATAGAATGGATTCTTAGCTGCTGGGCTTATAGGATTACTGGATGATCCAACAAAGTTATAAAAGCACAAATAATGTATTCCTTTGGAGGAAGGACCTCTCTGTCTCGAGACGTTTTTTTAAATAATTTCTCATATCCACTAACAACACTAATTTCTATTAATTCTAACATTTTTGTTAGTTATTGTGCCTCTAACAAATATAATCTCCCAACCAGATGTTTCTTAATGTTATTTTGGCTCTCTTCTGTTATGAAAAAAAGTTTTAAAATGCTTGTGGTTGCCGATTTTAGAAAAAAAAAATAAAATTACTGAAACTGAAGCAGACAGTATTCAATAGTTTCTAAATCCTTACACGTTTTCAATATTTAAAATTTCTCACATTCGTCAAGACTGATTGGGGAATAGATGGAAAAGTAAGAAATAACTTGTAATGTGAACATATCCAGGGTCACACTTGACACTGTTCTGTGATCCGAAGAATGCCCAAGCATGAACCGCTTTAACTGTTTATGTTTAGTTAGTAAAAGTAATTAAGACCAGAATAAACAGTAATAAACGTCTACACAAAGAAAATTGAATTAAATTATTTGGCCAGTCTTCATCTTTAGAAATAAATAAAAAAATCAGCATACAAAACAATATATTTGAGGGAATTATTAATTCAATTAAATTTCAAATATATTATATTGATAACTTTTACAATGTTGATTATTTTAATAGCCGTAGGGCGTAGGTTTGATCTCAACCTTGGTAGGGACACTAGTGGTCTTAAGTTAAATTGGTCTGATGTCATTGGTCCTACTTATGCATGCTCCTATTTTTTTATGCTTGACGTGAGCATCAGGGCACATTCGTTTAAAGAGAAAATAGCCTTTTTTACTACATTTATACAAATTTTATAAGCACCACACACACAAGATTCTGTTAATCAATGTTTGAAGCGTCAGTGGCTCAGAATAATGTAAAATTGGGACAACTTAATACTTTGAAAAGGGTAACATTTAACAGTAAATACGTGCCTTTTTAAGCAAATATAGTCTAAATATGTCTGTTTGTGTGGATTTATCCTGTGTTTTCTTTTGAAGAAATAGAATTGTGCAGAGGTAAACAGAGGTAAAACCTACTCTTATTATTTTTATCTGATATGCTGATATTCTCTATATTGTAAAGCAAAGCAAAATAACATATCCAAGGGACTGCAAATAGATTTATTGTATTTCCATGGGTGCGGGAACTATAAGAGTAACTGACACTGAGCATTTAAAATATGAACTTCAATATACAAGTTGTCAGAAAAGAAGCGACTGCTGCAACAACACTGTATTGTAAACTATAAACATGTTATTCAAATAGAATTATTGGTAGAGACATGTCCCTATGGTCCCTCTTCAAACCTACGCCCATGGCTGTAGGCAGGAAGGGTCTTTTGTTGTAGTCTCTTTGCCTGAAGACTGTTGATGTCCAACAGTCCTCTGAAGAGGAGGTTGACCACACTGAAATTCATATTATGTAAATGCTTTATCTGAAAAATCATCACCAGACATTCAGGGCAAAATCATCTACAATAGCAGACGAAATAAAATACAGAATTTAATTGTAATTCCTTGCTTCTTTGTAAGTATCCAAAATCCTCAATTTAAAGTGGAAAAGCGTGCTCTATAGGAACACAAATAAGAACAGACCGATGAAAGCTCAATAAAAAAAGCTCCTAACAGTGATTTCTCTTTGGGACATCCTCCAGATATTATTAACTTACATATTGTGAGCATTCACAGTAAAGGATGCAGTAAATCCCATAACAAGCTGCATGTTTTGCACTCATCAGCTGCCTGTGAATAACGGTTGGAGACTCGCTAATTAATGGAAACGACAGAAAAAATGATGAAAAGTGAAGAAACAGGCGCGATCAGTTTGGGTTCACGAGACAACTAGTCTTTAGCTTCTTAATATCTGAGTACAATAAAAAATAACAAAAAAAGTGTACGAGGGGAAAACAGGAATGTATTTTGCACAGTATTCCATTTGTAAAATACAAAATGCAAGGACTTGCAAAGTTACTCAAAGCGAGTGTTTTCAGTTTAAAAACGCATAGCTTCATCTGGTTTTTATTAAGCAGGTAACAAGATGCAAGTGCATGCTAGCGGGTAATGCTAGCATGAGCAGCAGAAACATTTAGGACTGAATGAAAGAGCAAACTGCAAAATAAACAACCAATAGTTTAAAGCTGTTGTCGGAGAGGCGACTTACTCTTAACCCAGCTAATGTGAGACCTATAAAAACACTCACCCCTCACCGCTCTCCATCCCGTTTATTGCAAATATAAGGCTAACTTGCTGCTACGGCTAACGGCTGGCTACAAAGAGAAGCGCGTGCTGCGAATACCGGGGTATTCCAGGCGGGCGGTGCATATATTGATTGATTTTCACAATGCTTTTTTCCCCCCTGATATTTAAATAAAATTATTCAAATAATAATAAAATTATTCAAATAACAGAAACACCTTTAAATCATATAGACTAGGAATTTATTTACTAAAGTACTTTAGTAAACAAATTCCTAGTCTATATGATTTAAAGGTGTTTCTGTCTTCACCCTAATCTGTTGGTCCCTTTAGAAATTCTCTATTAGACTGAGTCTGTTACTACTCTGACTACTACTGCAAAGTGTTAATAGTACTTCCAGTTAAAATAAACATACTATTGAAAAAAAAAAAAAAGAAAGAAAACTTTAAATCTAAATCTGCCATAGATTTGAATACTTCTTGACATAAATGCGTTTATATATCCTCTAAAACTTTGAAAATAATAAAATAATGATGTATAACTATTGATTATACTTGTAATAACATGTAACAATGTAATAACATGAACATAAAACATAAGACAAGCTTTTAGGTTTTCACTTTTCAAAAACACTAACTTTTCCATCTATTGGTTTTGAAGGCATAAATTACTTATTTACCCCCCAAAAAAAAAAAAAAAAAAAAAAAAAAAAAACTGTAAGGAAAAGTCAAGCCAGATGATTGTGAATCCTTATTGTTTGTATCTTAAAGCTTTTGGAATGTGAATTCATGTGTGAAGGCAGTTTAACTATTTATGATATAACCATAGTCATCTTTAGGTGCAAAATAGCAAAACAAAGCACTGCAAAAATAATGTTTGATTACCAAAAGATGGATTTAATAAAAAAAAAAAATATTTATTTTTTTTTTTTTTTGGAGGATTTTTCTTCAGATGTGACCCTGCTGTTTGAATATATGTAGCATCACTTTATTTAAAGATGCAGAAGTATCAGCCAAATGGAAACAACTATAACTCAACATATTCCAAATACAAATAAAAACCAGGCTTTGGGAAAAAGGGAGAATAAGTAAAACCTCAGAAAACACAATTTTAGAAGAAACTCTTAAAATATGGTATGAGATACTTAAAAAATACAAATCAGAAGGGGATAGTAAACTATTAATGTGGCCCTCTCAGTCAACGAGATTCAAACCAAAAGACTTGGATGGCACATTTATAGATTGTAGGAGAAAGGGGATAACAGCTATCTGCACACTAGTAGAAGGCAAAACATTTAAAACATTCAATAAAATCAGAAGAGAATTTGAACTAAATAACAGAGATTTTTTCAGATACCTACAGCTAAGACACTTCTATACCAATGAGGTGGAGAAAGTATTATCACCGGAAGGAAATTAGTTGATTTAATTCTTTGTAGATGCATACACGAAAACCCCAACAAAAGTTGTATCTAAGCTATATAAAAGCTTACAAAAAGTCCAAATAGGAGTTAAAAGTGAAACTGTCAAAGAGTGACTGGCTTTCAATGTGCAAAACTCAACACTCCTCCACAAGCTCTAAACACTGGAGGGAATTTGAATGGAAAAATTTAATACGCTACTTCATAACGCCTCAATTCCAAAATAGATTATTCCATACTCAACAACAATGTTGGAGACAATATGGATAGATGAATGCCAGTCACTCTCATATATTTTGGAAATGTACAAAAAATACAAATCTACGGGGATCAGGTTGTTCAGGCTATAGAAGAAATAATATGATACAAGATACACAAGGACCCACGAATTATGTACTTAGGCTGGCTGGAGAGGGAAGGGAAACACAGGAAAGACATCTATGTCCTCAAAATCTTGATAGTGGCAGCTAAAAAGGCGATTACCAGAAAATTGTTAATAAGTGACTCTGCACACCTGACGCAATGGATATCAATAGTAGAGGAAATCTTCACAATGGAGGAAATGAACTACCAGCTGAGGATCAAGTACAAACACCTGAAACAACACTGGAGAAAGAGGTTTGATTACAAAAATCGGAAAGGACTTACCCTCAGTAAGACTGGAACGACAGACAAACCTTTTAGGACCTGCGTGACCCCCACATTCACTAAACTTAGATTCTGTTATACCTTTGCTGTATTTTTTTCGCCCCCTTCCCTGTTCAGATTTCTTTTGTGTTTTATGCAAAATTGAAAAAAGATGCAAGTATCATCAACTGTGCAACATCCCAAAAACATGAAGCCTGATGTCTCCTTATAATTCAGACTATCTCACCAAGTATTCCATGTTATTCTTTTGTTTTTCTCATTCCTCTGTTTCCTCCTCCTGCTCCTCCATGTAAGTAGACACAGAAACAGCGCTGTACGGATCCAGCACCAGGTTAGCACAGCGCACAATTGTCACGAGCAAAAAGAAGCAGAGGAGGAAGAAAAAGAAAAGGGCAAAACCAAGGTCCACATCCACTTCAAATCCTCTCCAAGGGTTGGCTGGGGGGTCCATGTCAACAAACATATGTTACCCCAAAATATCTTTTTATCTATTAGATCCCAGAGAGAAAGAAAAAAGGACAAAAAAAAGTTAGTTTCTTCTTTTTCCTTCAAACACAGAAACATGCGGTATACGCCAAAGACAGGCACCCTGTTTGGCACCTGCGGCCTCCTTGAATAGTTAATAAGGAGTTTGGTAACAGACAGGTCATTCCTGTGACTGGAACCCAAATGCGTCTTTTTAGAACACAAAAAAAAGAATTTATAAAATATTAAGTCTGATGTCATTTCTAAGCAGATACTAATAAAATAGAAGGGATAACCTGTAAATGTCTCTTTTAATGCTGTGTGCATCTTTTATTAAGCACAGGCAGTTTGCCATATTTCTGAACCAGTTTACACAGCTTCACACACCAGCACAATATCTGAAATTATTGCATGACCACAATGGTTTTTGAATTTAGGAAATGGAATCACAAGGGAGAAGAAAGGATAAGATTCAGAGAGAAAGATGATATGATGCTTTTCCTGTAATCTAGTTAAGAGGGGTTGGAAACTGATCCCGACTTTAGTGCAGATTGCTTAACAGAGGTGCAGGTTAAAATTGAGGTATGTTCAAATAAAACAAAAAATAGAATACAAGAATGAGAAGGAGGCCATTGAATTACAAGTAAATTCAAGTAAATATATTTAGACGCTAAAAGGTAAATGTTATTGGAAAGCATCCATCAGTGTCTTCAAACATTATATTAATCAGTGTTCATCCCAGGTGTCGAAAAACAAGGATAGAGTGATGAAGGTGCAACCTGAACCCTGCAGTTGTCATCAGATCTTCACCAGAATGTTTTAAGAGGAGGAAAGGAAATGCAAATACACGATCAAGTCATAAACAAAATCTGAAGTGGATAGATTGAATGCTCATGGACCATGAAACCACTGATTTGTGGAACTCTGAGGCCAAATATGACACTGATAAATCCTCCTAGCTTGGCTTCATTTAAAGAAGCTTCAGCTCACGGTAATTAATAGGAAATTAGACATCTACAACTATGCACATTTTTTAAACAAATGTATTTTGGATGAAAAACTTCCGTATGCTTTGTTGATGTTTTTTATTTGCCGCAGCACAACACTAAGCCAATTAAAGCTATTTACATCCTATTGATGTGTAAAAAAATTCCATGTTGATTTTGTTGGAACTCAATGCTACATTTTATATAGTGGGTTATAATTTTCAGCCAGAGTTCTGATGAAAATTAAAGTCATAAGGAAGTTAATATTTCTTTTATCTTGCATTCTTGTTAAATCCAGAATAGAATTGATTCATGCTCCTCACATATAAAGCCCTAAACAACCAAATTCCCATCTAGCATCAATAACCAGTTGTTCCTTGTTCCTAACAGAGAACTTCAATCTCAATCTGTAGGTTTACTACTGGTTCACAACTATTTTTAAAGTAGAACTGGAGGAAGATCTTTTAGTCATCAGACTCCTCATGTAGAACCAACTACCAGTTTAAGTCCGTAAGGCAGACGCCCTGTCTACTAATTTTGACAAATAGTTGCTGGGCGAGTAGGGAAATAGTTGGAGGTAGAGTGTTGTTCATACTTTAACCATTTGTTTTACATGAAATTTTAAAGGGAAACATTGATGTTTGCACAAATAAAAGACACAAACTTTTGATTCTTGGCAATATAACAATTTAATATAAAAGACAGAAAAAAACAAATATTTCTCTTAAAATTTCATAAACATATACAGAATATTTATATATTTGTGTTTCTAAGAGTGAAGATAAACCTGGATACAGAGCAATCAGTTGCTTTTAGCACAAAAAACGTCAAAGAACAAACACAATCACCAACATGCCATCCTCTGGAAGATCAGAAAACGTGGATTTATCTACACAGTCTGCTATTGCAAGTGTTGAACACAGACCAGGACAAACACTCGACCTTTAATCAACACTTTAACATCTCACATCGCTCCTCTATGAAAGCTGTCCAGAAGAAATCTTGTTTGCAAAAATATCACAAGAGGAAAACAAAAAAAGAAACACTGAGCCAGAAGATATAACCTGTTTGTACATTCTCACATGTAGGTCCACGCGTTTAATTCATGAATACCCTGATCTAACCGTAAAATACCAACGAGTGAGGAGCGACAGATAGGTCAATAAAATACTTAGGAAGCATAATTCAAATCAGAGAATTACAATCACATCACTGCATTTTTAAAATATTAAAAAAATAAAAACTGAGTGGTAAAATGGCTTTAAAAGATACACAATTCCTGTTTGCCACTTATTGCTAATGATTTTTTTCTATACATATACATTTCTTTTACAAATAGAGTAGAAAAAGCTCACAAATACAGTGTAGATGAAGCAAGGCAGATACCCCACAGCCGTTTGATTACTATACTGTGTGCAATGATGGGAGGAAAAAAGAAAAAGCATGTTACCAGCAGAGACTGAATGAAAAGAAAAATGCTGCCATTCATTGTTTAAGTAACTCGATGGGTAAAAAAAAAAAAGAGAAGTTTTATTGGTGAAGCCAACCATGTCTACATTATCTCCACATTAAGCTGCAAAATGTTAAAATATGTTTGATCATGCAAATACATGCAGTGGATTCAGTTCAAATAAACAAAATTATCTAATTAAATGATTAATTATATCCCTGTTATTTCCCAAGATTGTAAAATCGTTGTCTGAAACAATTAGTATACCTGCTAAGGAGTAAAATAGGAAAATATTCTATTGATCCTGAGAAAACACACTGAAATACTACAATAAAAAGGCCATTTTCTGTGTGTACTTATTTAGCCTGTAGGAGAGTGTTTTTTGTTTTGTGCAGTCCATTCAAGTGGTGTTGTGCGATTGTGTGTTTTTAAAATATCTTTATATTCATACATACTGATATCACATGTCTATAACACCGATATGAAGCTTTGGGTAGTGCTAGCTGGAGCAATCTCTTACAATAACTGGAATAATGTGAGACCAATATTAAATTTTTTAAGTACATTTTTTTATTTTCTATTTCATTTATGTGCAGTAAAATATCCCTTCATCTTTAACTGGCTTAACAGCTGAGGTCATAAACAGAAAGGGAAGACTGCCGCTATCTGAGGAAGAGTTCATGAGCAGAGGATGTGAAGATTCACCCAGGGAGAGAAAGAAGGTAAGCGGAGCGCTGCAGACCAGGTCACTCGTTATACGGTGGGTACATGGGAAGCTCAAAGTCTTCACTGTTGAAGTTAGCAGGGTGTTCTAGCATTGACAGCACATCCTAGAAGAGAAGAAATTGAGAGAATGAAACCGTTTTAAACGACGGCAGTAGAAAATGCTTGAAATGTGGTAAGTTGGCCATCACTCACAGGAAACATGTCCTGGTTTCCCTGAGCGTGAGGATGCTGCTCTCCGTTATTCTGAGGATGCTGCTGCTGCTGGCTCTGCCACTGAGGCCACACCGTCTCTGCAGCTCGAGATGGGAACTGGGCTCCCGATTGGGATCCATCTAAGACGGAGGACATACTGGTAAGAATGAACAGAGTCAAATACTTCTGCATGAAAACAGCAAATAACCTGGGTTAAGATGTTTAAACTCTTCAGATTAACTGACTTAGCCTGAGTTTTGTAAAGTAACCATTGACTGACCCTAGAACAAAAACTAAACTGAGGGGGACGAAGGAGAGTAGAAATGTGAGGAAGGTGATGGGAAAATAATCAACTTGAGGTTATGTGGAAAACAAAGTCCCCTACATTTAATAGCTGCTGTGTCACACTTGGAGGCAGCAACCACCATCAAGCATTCATAATTAACAATGAGTCTAATCTATAAAAACCATACTTCCTAATGGATTAGCTTCAATTTACCCACATTAGCATGTTCAAGCATCAGTTTTTTCTTGTTTTTTTATCTTTTTGAAATCATTAATAGGTAGGGGTTATTCAGATCATTGTCCTGAAATTAAGGTCTTGAACTGATACCAGATATTATCTTTTGGCATTTTCTCTTACTGAGAAGAATTAATATTCCATAAATTACAGCAAATACATCTGATTAAGCAGGTGACAATCAACCCTACGTTGTAGTGTAGTGTATTTGTAGGTGTTGTGCTTTCTTGCTAGGTTGCTTTCAAAAGCTGTTATCCACTTCTACAACCCACCATAGCCGTTTGTGTTGAGGGTGGCGCGGGGATTCATCTGGGAGTAGTTTGTGCCATTTGTAGGGGTGGGAGCAGCACCTGTAGGCATCTGACTGAAGGAGTTAGAAGAGCCACCACCGAACCCCGCTATTGGAGAAAACTGTTGAGACAATGCCTTCGCTGCCTGAGAAGCAACCTGGTGGCAAAGAGGAGTAACACTAAAAGCTTTTCCTGTCACTAATCAAGAATAAATTACTCCAACAAAACGAGGAAGAATAGACCGTTTTAGCTAACCTGGTTATTAAACTGAGGACGGACAGCTGGTGCAGGCCCGGGCCATCCTCCTGGCGGTTCTCCATGTAGGGGGCCGTTAGTGCTTGATGGGGTAACGGAGGGGGCTCCGTTCTGACGAGACATGTGAGGCAGCATCTGAGCTGCCGAGTGTGCTGGCTGTGTCATCTGGGGTGGAATACCAACTGGTCTACAGAGGGGAAAATTAAGATTTAGAGCACTGGCTTCAATGATGCCTTAAAACTAGAACTGCCAATGCCGTCATTTTGACAGCTCTGAGATTTTAAAGGGAAAGAACTTTATTTACATTAATCATTTCATTCATGCTAACGAATTTTTCCTATTTCTATAAATCATGCATTTTCACATAGTTTCTTTTAAATTTAAAAAGTAAATATGGTTAATTTTACCTCGATCTCCCACAGCTGTCATTTTGACAGCTCTATTAGTTGCATTGCATTGCCTAGCAACCAACATTCTGCCTACAACTCTTTGGCTAATATGGAAAAATGGCTTTCAGAAGAAAAAAAAAATCTAACAGCGAAAATGGCTTTAGAAATGCTTAAAAATATTGATGATAGCAATTAGGGCGGAGAAGGAGAGACCGATGAGGACGACCTGGTAGGAAGCGGCTCAGATTCTGACAGCGAGTCTGAGGATGTTCGTCCACCCCCCGGCAAAACGCAGATGTATCAGTGACCCATCAGAGAATAGGGAAAGTTTTTTTCAAGCTTTGGATAGCACTGCCCACACCTCAGCAGCACAAAAGCCACACCAGTGCCTGTGGTTTATATATAATTACACACAGGTTGGCATGTTGGATCAGATGATTAAAAAGTATTCGAGCTCCAACGCGAAGGCGTCTTGTGGCTGTATTTTACGATCATAGCAGCTGTAAACGCGTTGGTTTTGTTCAGGAGCTTCTTTGAACGTCACACTGTCCCACAGAGACATTTTATCCTTGAACTGGTAAAACAATTGAGCACAAACCGCAGGTTACCAGCTCCTCCGCGACTAAAGAGCAGCTTTGGCGAAGCAAAGAAAACAGCACCAGGAGCTTCAGCTCTGCACAAAAAAAATGCTTATAGGATGTTTGTCATAAATGTGAAAATGTGGTCTGGGGGAAATGTTCGGAGGTAATCAATCAATTTCTGTAAATAAAATTGTAATTTCAAATGGCCAGTGGGAGTTGTACTAGTATCAGAATTCTGGGAGTCCTAGTGTTAAAGCCCAGTCTCTGGGAGAGGGGCAGCTGCAAAAGGCATCAAATTCCTTAAAATAAGCTTACACATTTTAAAAGAACGTTTCCTTTATACCGAGACTTCTAAAACGATATTTGCCTTGCACTATATCTGTTCCACTGTTTTCTGACCAGAGGTGCATAATACTCCTCACTTTTCAGCTGCTTTGGCTAGAGTCTTCTATTAAATTAATAATCAGAAGTAAAATCACACCAACAGCTAACTAAGCAGAACTAACAGATTCCCAGGCTGCTTTTAATGCAGATGAGCAGTAACAGAATTTGAGACAATCTAGCAGAACAGAACAGATTCACAGTAAAGAAAAGTAACCAGTTTGATATCCGGAGGTTGAGAACAAAATATGCAATTAAACTTATTCAAACAAAGTGTTTCCTACCTGTAAGAATCACTGGAGCGACCAGTAGAAAAGTTGTTGGTGTAGATCTGAGTAGATGGTGCAGGGTTGGTTGGCATGGTCTTGGATTGATTTGGCCCTTGGAAGAGGGGAGGATAGATCTCTGGCTTCTCTATGCTTTTGCTGTGGTCTGGCCCCGCCGCTGTCACCGGCTGTACTGGCATCTGAAACAGAGGGATTACAAAAGTTGAAAGAACAAGTACCAAGAAAAAAGGATACAAAAGGGTATTTATCAAGGCTAAATTAAAATCTTATTATCTAGGGGAACAAATCTTAGACCTAGACACACTGTCTTTTTGTATACACAGAGTGTATAAAAAGCAAAATTTCAATACATACAGCTTTTTCAACAGTGAATGAGCAGCTTTGCAGTGAAATTAACATTTCCATTTTCAAAGAGCAGCAGTGATCAAAATGTCAACAATGTAAAAGAGACGTGGTGCAAAAGGCATTGATGTGGAAGGTTCTTGAACTTCTTGAAATCTTGAACTATAACATTAAACATAACATGCTGTAAAAATAATTGTGCCAAACATTACAGTTATAGGAAATTCATAGAAGTGTCTCACAAAAGTTGTGAAAATAGCAGATCTAGTTCAACACATCCTATTAGTTAATGTAACTGACTGACAGTGTACAATAAAGGAATGGTTTTAGATACACAAGGTTTCCATTCAAAGGCAAACACTTCCTGATCTACTATGAATGATGCATTACACACAGATGAATAAAATCTTCATTGCTCCAAAAAAGCAAAGAACAAAAACATTCTTCTTTCTACTTTGGCAATTTTGGTTTTATTTCTGAGAATTTCCCCCTTAGCTACCACTGCTTAAAGGTCAAAGTAGATTTAAATTAACAGGGTATTGATATTTAAAAAAAATTCAGAGATAATATACATAAATGCCTTGTAATGCCAAGACAATTTAGACCTAATTTAGACCAATTTAGACCTGTGTCAAAAATGGGATTACCATTTGTACTGTTAAGTACAAAGTTGTCTTTAATATTTATCAAGCACTAAAGAAGCACATTTTCACATGACCCCCAGTCTATATGTGTCAACTTCTACTTAAAACACAAAAAATAAGAACTGGACTCTGCAATGTAATAGTGTGGCTGTTTGAATAATTCTAGGATTCTTCACAAAATGCATCATATATTTGTTAATAACACGTTGCAGTTCAAACCTGCTTGCTCATGGTGACTACAGGAAGCAGCCATATCAGTTTGCACTTTCATTTATCAGTTTGCATCATCATCAGAGTTGTGACACGGTTACAGTGTTTTCTTCTAGGGGGGTGCGCATTTACCACAGCTAATATCTCTATTGGTTTCTAGTTATTTTATTAGGTTTCTATTGACCCAAGTTTACATAAATTAAACAACTTAGGTCAAACAACCTATCAAATGCTTATAGTAGTTTTAGCATCTAAACATGAGAGCAGAGGTGATCATGCCATTGCATCTCCCCAAACCTGTTGTCAGTATACCAGCTGATCAGCCATGTTCTTCTCAAGTTTTGCTTTAAAAAAAGTGAAGCTCCATTGTAGTTTGCATATCTTGTTCAGCCATATTGCTGTAGATATAAAATCCTTATTTCCCCCCAAACAACCTAGGGTTTTTGACCCTTCACACAAATTATTCCAGTGATAGAAACTATAAAAAACTTGGATCCGTCTGCCTCATGGTACCTGCTCCACATCAGAACCGAATAGCTGCGTTTGGACTTATTAACATCTGACATTTCTGCAGGGTCAGTTTCAAACAAAGTAAGTTAAAACAAAACAGCAAAAATTCTAGTGTTAGCTGACACAAAGACACAAATGCAGCATTAGTTAAAATATCTCAAAGGCTGGGATGGTGTGCAGGGTTAGATGGAAATCAGGTTTGGTCAGAAGCTTTATGTGCTGAATTAATCCAGTGTCGGAGCAGCATATTGATGATTTTTCTGAAACCGTGAACACTCACCTGGGGTGGAAGAGAGATCGGTCCAGCCTCATACATCCCATCCCTTGTTACACCTCCCTCCAGGTCAGCCTGCTGCTGCTGCTGCTGTAGCTGTCTGCATAAGCAAAGACAAAACAAGTGATTTGACTGGTGTCCACCAAGAAAGCACTTGTTTCACTAACCCTTCTCTCCACTGATGATTGAGAAATCCCAAAAACACCACAACCCGCCACCAGTAACCATAAACAAGAGAGGTGAAGAGAAGTTTCACACATAGCTTATATGCTACCCCACTTCCATTAAAGGTTTGTCAGAGAACTACATTTCAAGGTTTAGAAGACATGCTTCCTTTTTTATTGATAGTTATTGAATGACAGGAGGAGGAGTCACCCAGAATGGGAAATAAGGGGGGAAAAAATGACAGGAAACACTTTAGCCGGCTAGAAACAGCTACAGACTCCCACAAGCAGCATCCCATCAGTCTCCCCTAAGGTGGGAGGAACGGCTCCTCAGGTCCGATCTCACCTGGTGGCCAGCCGGCCTGGGCTGAGCACGACAGGATGGCCATTTGGGCTGCTTTGACCCAGGGGCAACGGAGCCCCGGGAGAGGAGATGGGGGTGAGGGGGTCCTGGGATGAGTTTCTACTTCCCAACAATCATTGTTGGGTGAAGAGCAGAAGTGTTGGGAGAAAGTGATCAGTAAGAGCTTTTATATTTCCTTTTTTTTTTTGAAACGAGAGGTTCTTTTTGAGGTTCAGGAGGAACTGAGGACTTGAGGGAAATTGATAAGCATCCAAACAGAGCTAACATTTCTCAACAGGCACATTTCATAACTTCCATCATTTCTCTATGCACTCTATTAGGCTGAGTCACGGTGCAAGTGTTACTCACTTGACGTTGACGTTGGTACAGATGATGTATTCGATCTCCTCTGAAAAGGGGTTCTGGAAAGTAAAGGAGCTCGTTCTCATCAGCATCCATTCCCTTGATTTGGCACGGAACCGAAACATGACAGAAAGAACCTGGCCTTTCAGCTTCACCACCTGAAGACGAAAAAACATGGTGCTCAGCTTCATTTTTTACAGATATTATTAAAAAAGTACGTCTAACCACTGGTGTTGGTGTATCACAGTCTGTAGAGCCTTGAATTTTTTTTTTTTTTTAGTTAGTTATATTTGACTCCAAGTATGACCTCATAACATAAATACAAAGCAGAATTTAAGACATTCACATCATTGAATCCAGAAAGAAACATTTCTATCTTTCCATTTAGTTATATAAATATTTAGCTTCTAGCTAATCAAAATACATATTTAAGAAAATGTTATCCTGCAGAAGAGTATAACATGCAGACAGTATGAATTCTCCATGGTAAATGGATGGTAAAGTCCCATGTTTTTCAGCAGTCCGCATGTTGCAATTATTCCCAAAAACCTGTCAATAGGTTCTGCAATAGAACTTAAAAGGCAGTCGTTCCAGCAGTTCATCTGTGAACCTTTTCTTTTTTTAAGAGGGGAGAACTCCACTATTTTTTTTTTTTTCCACACAACTTTCCATTTCCATATGTTTTAAGATAGCATCCTTCTATAGTAATGCTAATTGTGGTTTTTCCTCCATGTGAGAGGAATCAATGAATGTCTGCTGGATAAAGTGTCAAATCAGCATTTTCCCCATGACTGTGCAAACCAAAACATTTCTGAATTACAAGTCCCTTTTATTAGACTTCTGTAAAATTTTCTGGAATCCTAACCAACTATTAAAGAGTTAAATTCTTAAAAACGTATCACTCGTTGTGTAATAAATCTACATAACATGAGTCTCACTTTTTAGATGAAGAAATGAAATCAATAAACTTTCCAAATATATTCTACGCCATGTAATTACAGCTGAATTAATCTTTCGTTTTTTCCAGCTTCCTTTATGTGCAGACATGCAGACCACGATTTAAGGGAAATGTCTCATAAGACAAGCACCTGATGTACATTTGAAAAAAAATTATTCTAATAAGAACATCAGATTTGCAGAATGAAGTTCTAGAGAAACTTTCCGGGGAAAAAACAAATGTTTCTTTCAAATTAGACAAGGTTAAGGAAGTACAGGACTGTACATGTACTCGATCCTCTAAAATGCATAAATAAAAGCAACAGGAACAGGACATTGAAAATAATGAAGTGAGATCAAAACAAGCTTTTGTTTGGTACCTGGTCAAAGCTGTCTCTTAGCAACCCCTGGTCTTCAGGGTGACAAAAATCTAGGATAGTCTTCCCCAGTAATTCCTGCAACATTAGAAATATAGGAAATTAAATTATCTTGAGCAAGTTAAGCAACTTAAGAATGCCGTCATTGGTGGGCTGTGTTTACCTGCGGCTGGTAGCCAGTAGAGGCCACGCAGCGATGGTCCACGAAGGTGAACATGCCTTGGCAGTTGTGGCGGGAGATGAACTCCACTGGAACGCTGATACTGTTGATGTCTGTGTCACCAGGGCAACAAGTAACCTGAAGAAAAGGAGGAAAGGGGGTGAAAAATCAGAAGACAGCAGCACGGAACAATAAGGCAGGAATTTCCCAACAAAAGCAACTTCAAATATCTAAAATCCAAGTCTGACTAAATCAACTTCCTGTATTTTTTTTTTCTGTCATACTGTATGTTTTTGTGGTCTGCAAATGATTTCCCCTGAGAAGGACCAGCTATATAGTCATGTAAAAAATAAAATAAAAGAGAGAGTCTACGTCCCACAGTGGTGCATTCAGGTGCAAAGCAAATTAGTCAATAAAAATATATGTGTGTAAAAACCACTATATAACTGTACAGCAAAGGAAAACCCACAACTGTGAAGGTATTTTAAACTGTCTATTCAGATCAGATGGAAGAGGAAATATGTTCCAGAAAAAAGACAATCAAAACAGTTGCCTATTATGGATTGTAAATAACAGTGCTGATGTAAAAAGAGCAAGGAAGAAAAAAAGAATTGGATTTAATCGATTTTTGAAATAATTTGTAACTATAATCTAATAATCCTTTACTGGAATATAAAGATGCTAAAACATGCAATTTGTTGAAAGAATCTGCTCAGAGCAGCCATTAAGGCAGTGGTTCTCAAACTTTTTCTGTCATTCCCCACTTTGGACAAGGGGGAAT